AGGTACTGTATCGCGGCTCTCATAATTGGAAAATTTGGGAGGTTGTAGGAAAAGTAAATCACTTTTTATTGGTTTTACCTTGCGGTAGTGGCTGGAGGCTGACGACCATCTGCTGCTGAGGCATCCAGTGTACAGAAATTCGGCTGCACCAGTCTCTCAAAAACTTAATAAAAGTGAGAAGTACTTTAATTCTATGCGTAGAAGGGGGATCAGTACCAGACTAGATCTTAGACCTGGTGCCAGGGTTGTAGGAACACGATAATCAACTTGATTGGATGTGTTTGTGGAGGTGCAAGTATTGATTATGGTCTACTGGGCTGTGACGCCGTATGATTTATAGATAGTTACCAAAATTTCAGGGAACGTATTTTTATCTGTTTTACCCTGAAAGTGGAGGCGATACGTCCTTCTTGTGCCTAAGCATCTCACCATAAGTGTTCGTGTAGAAATAGTGGAAATCTCGACGCATTCTTAACCTCAGTCTGCATGCAGGTGGGTAGTCAACTTTCCCCATGTACTGTGAAACGCAGATTTAGGGCGCTTGAAAACAGAGTACTGAGGAAAATATTTGGACTTAAGATAGCTAAAGTAAGAGGAAGGTGGAGAAAACTGCATAATGAGGAACTTCATATTTTGTATGCCTTTCACCAAATTATTTCTGTGATAAAACGAGGAGCATTAGATAGGCGGAACATCGCATGGATGAGATGAGAAATGTACACAGAATTTTAATCTATAAACCTTAGTGAAGAAATCACTTAGGCATAGACCATAAAAGATAGATGATATTAAAATGGATTTTGAAAACTAATGATTGTCTTTCGTGTGTCACCAGGAACTGGCTGTTGTGTGATTAGCATTTGGGTTCCATAAAAGCGAGAAATTTCTTGTCTGCTGAACTACTATCAGCTTCTCAAGAAAACCCAATAATATTTTATATAATAACTGAACGATCGTGGCTCAGAGTGGCAGTTCGTGCAAGCTCAATTTTGCTACGGACGTTCTTAATTAACCGTTAAATTTTAAATCATATTCTGACCTTAATCGTTTAAAATTTAAAATCGTCGTTAAGGGAGCGATTAAGCAACAAAGTTGCAACACTTGGGATTTTAATGTTATGACATTTAGTTTTTCATGTCTGTCCTCGTAACAGAAATCTGCTGTAGCTTATTAACTACAAGATAATAAAATAGAAACCATGAGGGTTGTATATGTATAT